TGTGCTGTAGTTCCGGCCAAATTGCGAGATAGGACCTTGGACATAGCACACGATGGTCATCCCGGCGCATCAAAATTGAAGACCATCCTTCGAGAACGTGTGTGGTGGCCTGGAATGGCTTCAGATGCAATAAAGTGGGTCGACACATGCCGAACATGTGCCACAAACGGTCGACCAGAGAAACCTACACCAATGAAAAGAGTTTTCGCCCCTAAGACGGTTTGGGAATCGATCGCGGTAGATTTCAATGGGCCATACATCAAGTACGGTGGCATTTCAATTCTGCTTATCGTGGATTATCGCTCTAGATTTTTGATTGCTCGCCCGGTAAAATCCACTAGCTTCGACAACACCAGGCCAGTCTTCGATGAGATCTTTGAAAGGGAAGGGTTTCCAAAGAACATTCGATCTGATAATGGTCCGCCGTTTAATGGCGATGAGTACAACCAATACTGTACTGAAAGGGGAATTGACAGAATCTATTCAACCCCGCTGTTCCCACAACAAAATGGACTAGTAGAAAACTACATGAAGCTGGTGAACAGGGCGATGGCTGCTGCTGCTGCAAATAATACGGGTTCCAAGGACGAACTACAAGCGGCAGTGAACGCGCACAATGCGGCGGCCCATTCGGTTACCGGGATTCCTCCTGAAGAGGTAATGTTGGGTCGTAAGATCAAACGAAGACTTCCACTTCTTGTCCACCAGAAATCGGAATATGACGAAAACTTACTTGATGAACGGGACAAACTAGCCAAAATGAAAGCTAAGGACCGAGAAGATGCACGGAGAGGAGCGCGAGCTTGTCGCGTGAAACCAGGCGACAACGTTATTGTGGAACGTCAATCTAAAGGGAAAGCAGTATCCAGGTTCGACTCGTAGAGGTATACCGTGATGGAAGAAAATAATGGTAACCTTGTCCTCAGTAACGAAGAAGGTCAGATTCTGAAGCGACATGTTACCCAAACAAAGAAGGTGCACCAATGGCGGGAGGTCGACGGAAGCGTATCTACAAGCAACGACCCCAATTCTTCTGATGAAACGACTTCTCGACGACCCACAAGAGAAAGGAAAGCTCCGACATATCTCGAAAGCTACGTTCGGCGTGTGGAATCTTAACAATATCCTTAACGTATTAAAATGAGTTACTTTATTTTAAAGGAATAAACATAATGTCTTCGGATGCTCTCTTTTTATTTTTTGTTTGTTTCTAAAACGAATGACTAGACGTTTACTTATCAAAATTCAATTTTTTTCGGAGAAGGAGAGAGATGTGGGATATAGGCCACTCTATTATATAAGAACAGCCCTATTGAATGAAAGTTCACTCTTGACTATTATCCCGCCAGTTAGTGCTCACCCCTGCCATAAGTGAATATCTTATTGGAGAGTAATCATCAGCTCTCTCTCTCTCTCTCTCTCTCTCCCTTTTCCCTCCCCTGTTACGCTTCAATCCCTTCGTGAGCACTTGCATTCTCACGAGGCAGACTCTGCCTCTTTGCACCTCGGACCATCGCGTGGATAGGACGTATTATCAAGTAAGTAGCCGATCATCCAAGCATCGTCCGACCATCCGATCCCCCGCTGAGGATTGGATGGTAGGACGCCACACCCGGAACATGTCCAAGTGTGTCCAATATGGTCTGGAACACTTAACACGACTTGCATTGATCTTATTTTTGAATTCTGTAGTAATTTGATGTGTCGCATGATGGTTTTAATACGTTTTCCGTTAAATCCAGCGTGAAGGCCCATATTCACCGGATCTTATTCCGGCCATATCTCCGGAACCGGTTCACCGATTCCAAAACCGTTCAATAGCGTTCAATTGGACCCCAAGACCTATCATTTGGCGCCGAGGTTGTCCAAATCGGTTGAGCGGTTGCTGAGAAACGTGAGCGCATTCATTTCGTTACATATACACACACATACACACATACACACACACACACACAGACATGTTCCGATCTCGTCTAGCTGAGTCGAATGGTATATGACATCGGATCGATAGTCGGTTTTTCAAGTGATATCTATACCCTTCTTTGTAAGAAGGGTAAAAAAGTTGTTGAATATTACATCCAAACAGCTGCACAGAGGTCATTCCGCCGGTTGTGTAATATTACGTTGTACGATGTACATCGATTTTGCGAACAAAATTACACCTATTGATGTAATATTGTATCTGCTTTTTGCTATTACATCATTATTTCATACATCAGCTTGAATTACGTTGATCGATATTACATTTTTATTTTTTTGCTGTGTAGTCTAAATTCATTGTATGACTATGTTCGATTTATACATTCCTTTTTATGCATCGAATGAGTGAACGAAGGTGAGATTCTATTTTGCATACAGATAAGTTTAAATTGCCTTTTTTTAACTTCTGAGTGTACGGATACCGAGGAGGACGACACATCTTATTCTCAATTCTAGGTGCTCAACAAATCTCACACTATCTAATCAATCTTCGAAAAATCTTCTTTAATTTCTCGCATCTACTTGCATCGTGCATCATCTTTTTGCAAGAAATCTTCAGAATCGCCATAAATCTTCTTACTATCTACTCAGCTTGCGCGCAGCTAACCATTTCTTCACCGTAGATAGAGTCGCCCCCCTCGACGGATACTTAGTCTATATCCGGAAAATTGAAATATCAACAAAATATGTTTTATGTAGATATAGCAAAGATGTCCTATCCCCTGCATAATATTCATTTTGGCATCACTGGATGAAACGCAGATTCTGATCAACTGTCAATTTGAAAATTTATGAACGCGCACTTCCGTTCAAGCAGAGCTGCCAGGTTTCCCTTTTGCTGCTAAAAGCAGGGGGCTCTATCCAGGGGATGGATATGGCTGTCATATCGCTTAAGTTTGCTGCGTACCGAACATCTGCAACGTTGTCAGCGGTACCCTGATATGTTTTGTTGTTTTGATGTTGAGTACGTGTATGCAGCTATATGTCAAACCCCTGGCTCTATCCTCGCAGCATCCATGTCAACTAAAGAGGCTGAATATAATTCTGTTCGAGAGTCCATTGCAGTCATCCTTACCCCTATATTCATCAATCACATTGATGTGAGCAACGACGAAATGCTTGCCCTAATAAAAATGTTATGGTTAATTTGCTTAACGACGTGTTCAAGGTATCATCCAAACCATTTGTGGAATAGTTCAATGATTTGGGTTATCGTTCGTTTATGGTATTTTTTTATTAGGGTGATTGTTGCCCCCGTGGCTAAGACCGAGGCTAAAACCTCAGACTTGGCCGCAGATAAGTTTTATTATTGTACATCCAGCACTGAGGCAAAAGAACGTAAGATTTATGAATTTAAGCCACAAGAAATCGGTATGATTTCCATTGATTTGCCTTAAGACTAGTATCATAAAGGTAACTCTAAGACCAGAAGGTCCCGAAGAAACGTGCTCAACTTTTTGGCTCAGCTCTGGTACTCTTCGGTCCCAAGCTAATCGATGCATCCCTCAAAACATAGGAAAATCCACGAACTCCTCATTTTATATGTCAAACTTTCATAGCGAATCAAAATAAAAAAAAATAGAATTTCGAGTAGAATGGGGAACGTTAATCGATTTGCCAATAGGCTAATCAAGTAGTGAGCCAATTTATAATCGTTAAATCCCAAGCACAATGAAGGTGGAAGCGGAACGACAACGGCAGCGGAAAAGCCCGATCCTAATAAGCTTACTTGTCGGATTGAAAACTTGTTGGAACCAAATCGACTTCGGTTAGGCATCTTGATGTCATTTGTGACAACTGTCAAACTTTTCGTTTCCGTTCCGCTTCCGTCCACATTGCGTTTGAGCCTTTAGTTTCCACTGGTTGCTAGTATATAGTTCAAAACGAAGTGAAATTTGAAGCAAATGATAAATCTTGAAATTTCGCTAGCGCAAAAGGTTGCGAAAAAATGGTTGTGGAACATTTTTTCAATTTTCTCTTTTCGCAGTTCACAGTTCACGTGAAACAAAATCGATCAGTTTGCACTTCAGGTGTAGTAAAAATGTGACAGATACGCTCTTTCTTGAAACTCATGGGAGATCCGTCATCTTTCAACGCTTAAAAAAATCATTCATAAGGTCACGGTTATGAAATTCATAATGTATCGTTTATACACTGGAGTCGCTTTTTACGCGGTTTTTTTTTACACGGTTTTTTTTTACGCGGTTTTTTTTTACGCGGATTTCGGAATTTACGCGGTTTTTTTTTACGCGGATTCCGGAATTTACGCGGTTTTTTTTTTACGCGGATTTTGGTTTTTTTTACGCGGATTTCAGAATTTACGCGGTATATCGCTTTTTACGCGTTTTTTTCTTTCACGGTCTTTTTTTACTCGGTTTTTTTTACGCGGATTTCGGAATTTACGCGGTTTTTTTTTACGCGGATTCCGGAATTTACGCGGTTTTTTTTTACGCGGTTTTTTTTTACGCGGGACGTATCACCCGCGTAAAAAGCGACTCCAGTGTAATTCAAACCTTATGAAATTCGTTAATTTATTTACCTCAGTGAGGGATTTCGTGATGAATCAATAAAATGTAATATCTATGCAAAATATAAATGCGTAATATTTGCTGATAATATAAATGCGTAATATTTGCTGAAAATACATATTGTCGCTAGACTTGAAAACCGAAATGACCCACTCGCGACAATCGATTTTACTCTCGTTCTGTACGTTAAACATAACGTCACATCTATTGCGCTGTATTCGTTAAATGATGCGCTATAGTTCGCACCCGATGCGACGTTATGTTTAACGTACAGAACGAGAGTAAAATCGATTGTCGCGAGTGGGTCATTTCGGTTTTCAAGTCTAGTGACAATAATTAATAACGTTTGTAAAAAAAATTGCTAATCAAGTAAAATAATATTTTAAAAACTTAAATTCAATCACAACAATTCCGAAAGCCATTTCCTGGTAGCACTGCCACGCACTGTCAACACAGAACGCAAACTCTTCTGACAGACCGATGACAGCTAAAGTCTTCTCTTCAGAAACGGAAGTTGAAGATCGCTCTTTTTCCGGCATCTGCCAGTCGATTACAGTAGACACATTTTCGCTCTGCGGAAATAAAACTTTATTAAAATGGTAATTTAAGTGAAAATTGTACGATATTCCAGGTGATTGATTCGGAATACAGTGTCGTGACGAAATGATATCGATTTTTTTTTATTGTTGCCCCAGGAAATAATGGTGAAAACAGTAAAACTTGGTCACTGCTGACAGGTCATCGCTGATCGCTTCTCGGCGGTGGAGGAGAAACGAAAGCAACAAAAATTTGTTTTCGTGTTCCGCGATGTTTTGTCAAGTGGAATTCCAAATTTTACGTTCAAATCCTTCGGGATGGTTGCGATTTTATTCCAGTGCTCAGCAATGTTTCCCAAATTGAATGAATTATTGTAGAAAATTGTACCGTCACGATCCGAATCAACTTCGTGGAATGGGAGATTGTTTACATCCTATATGAGGTTAAGAGTGTTGATTGTTAATCGATTTTCTCGTTCCACCCTGGCAGTCGCTCGTGATTCCAGAGAAGTTCCAGCACATTCTTCGTGTGCTCAGCACCAACATCGACGGTAAGCGTACCGTTCCGATTGCGCTGACTGCCATCAAGGGTGTCGGTCGCCGTTATGCCCACGTCGTTCTGAAGAAGGCCGATGTCGACCCATTCAAGCGCGCCGGAGAGTGCTCCGATGAGGAGGTAAGTTCGAAGAAGCATAAGCATGAATTATTGGTCCCGACATAGTGAACTAACCGGTTTGTGTTTTGCTGTTTCAGGTTGAGAAGATCATCACCATCATCTCGAACCCCCGCCAGTACAAGATCCCAGATTGGTTCCTGAACAGACAGAAGGATATCATCGATGGCAAGTACTCTCAGCTGACCTCCTCGAACGTTGATTCCAAACTGCGTGAGGATCTGGAACGACTGAAGAAGATCCGTGCCCACCGTGGTCTGCGTCACTACTGGGGCCTGCGTGTGCGCGGTCAGCACACCAAGACCACCGGTCGTCGTGGACGTACCGTTGGTGTGTCCAAGAAGAAGTAAGCTCTTGGGCCCAGGAGAAGGAAGTTGCTGGTCTTCGGGAGTGTGTATTTGTATAGTTTTTCGATACAAAGAAGTGGGAGAAAACTGTGTGCGATCGTTTATTCGGCGCTATCGGTTTGTGCTGCGATATGTTAAAAATGGATTTGCAAATTCGATGGAGACGAATAAATGGTTGAAAAGATGAAGGAAAGCTGTTTTGTGCTGATGTGAGTATTGATTTGCTTGGTGACAGCAGATGCTGAATTGAAGACTCTCTGGTAATTGGTGGACAGTTGAAACAGTTAACTTGAATATTATGATGCGGGTGTACCAGTTCTGGCCTACGACGCTGAAAAAGAATAGTAATAGTGCCATAACTGGTACACTTGAATCAAAGGACAACCTGCTCAAACTATTTGAGTGGAGCAAGATGGATCATCTACTTGATTTATTTATATTTGAACATCAACAGACATTGATGGACATTGCTTAAAAACCTGTTGATATTAGAAAATAAATAAATTAATAAATGAACTAGCTGACCCATCTTGCCCCACGTTTCATTCCACCAAAATCCGTTAAAGGTGAATTGACGGATGAAGAAATCGTAAAACGCTTTATTGAATTCAGGCAAATGTTGCAAACCGAGAAACTAATTTATGTGGAGCAACACCTTAGTAATTTAAAGGGAAGTTAAAGAAATGCATTCACTTCTGCAACTCATGTTGAATATCACAGTTATCCCTTTATTGATCGATAAGAACAAGATAGAAAACTAAGTGCAATTAGTACCACTCGAAAGCGCACCTAGGAGCTAAAAAATCGGTTAGAATACGTTCACGGCGAATCATCGCTGAGTTCCTGCACTTTTGGCGATTATGAGTGAACTAAACTCAAATTTGGGTCGTTCTCATTCGCCGTGTTGGTTAAATGCACACGTCCAAAATAACTCAATGGTTCAGACGACTTCGAGGCACAAGGTATGTTCAAAAAATCTTAACGGAGCCGGGATTTCCATCGAGTACGGGAAAGTTTACTGTATTAAGTTAAGTTTTCTTTATTAGGGAACTTAAGTTTTCTCTAATTGATCATGATTCAAATTGAAAAGACATAGAGGTTTTGGGCCTACGGGAGAAGAGGTAGTAAAATTATTTTCACTCCCGCGGGTTTTGCCCTCAATCAATAAAAAAAATGATAAAACACGACATAATTCCTTCCTTTTAATTAGCTACGGGTGTGACAACGATGGTGAGTTCACTATGTTCACCCCTATTCTGTATTTCGTCCGAACGAAATTCTCATACAAAAAAATATTTTTTTGTATGAGAATTTTGTTCCAAAAGAAATACAGAATAGGGGTGGTTATATCTTCATTTTATTTCAGCAACTTTACTTTCCAGCAGACGCTCTGGACAGCAATTTCAACTTTTATAAAAAAAAAAATCTAAATTTGCCAGCAACACTGACTGGGTGTATCCTATGGCTTACCTTCCCTACTAACATTATTCCTAAATTCCCGAGACATTTATGAGGGGTCGTAGAGCGAGACGGTTTTATGACAGGTGGGCAGGAACTCACGGTCTCCCAGTGTTGGTGAGTTCTTTGCCGTTAATGTTCACGAAAAGTTCACTATTGTGCTATACAGAAATTCAAAACAAATTTTTTTATCTGCGGATTTGGACTGTTTTTGACCATAGGTGTATGCTGGTCACAAATGCCGTGCCAAACTGATTTCCTACGCAATTAATCAATCTTTGATGTGAATTTCGCTAATAAACACGAGGAGCATTTCTTATAGCAAAACTTGCCATAACAAAATAGGCGATTCATTTTAGTAAACAAACTAACACTTCTTCCGACTGTGGCACCTCTCTTACTCGCCTCGGTCGTAGAGTTCTCTGCATCTCTCAGTAAATGTTGGACTAACATACCTTTTCTATCCCTACCAGTTGTAAGGACGCGGTCAGGACAATCCTTAACTGTTGGAGCGGGATATGCTTTATCTGGGAGATAGTAATTATTTCCTACTTACTATCTATCCAGTAATAGATATCCGTACTGCTCTTAATAGTTTCGAATTCGTACCACCTACGATATTGTGCAACTTGTTCGATGCTAATGCTAAGTTAAGTTTTCTTTATTAGGGAGGCTTTCAGCCTGAGGCTGGTTCGCTTCCGAGTTTATAGATAGGTATTATTGACTAGTTAAGAAGATAAGATTTTCAAATTTGTGTGTAGAGTTCGGTGTCTTTCAGGAAGCACACACCAAGGCAGATTCGTATAAGGGATCTTTACTTAGAACGTCTCGCACTCTAGCGTGGATACCAAACAGACGTCAATGATCCTCATACTTGGGACAATTCACAAGTACAGGGGTTACTCAAAATAACTAGGATAGGCAAATTTTTGGTCAACTTTGGAGTGTTGTAACTTCGTCAAATATGATCCGATTTTAAATCTTTCAAGAGCATTTTACTGTAGAAACTAGTATTGTTCTACGTTGTAGCCACGAAAATAATCCTGATCACCGGATACCGGAGATATTCCGGGTTTTCGGAGGGCTTGTCTGACTTGCTAAATTTTTGGTGAAATTTTATGTATGATGCTGGTTAAATATAGATATATTTTTAGTAAATATAACGAAAGGAGAACCATTTCTAAAGCGAATCATATGCCAAGAATTAAAATCGGCCTATAATCAACCGAGATATGGCCACTTCCCTGGAATCGGTTCTAGTGGAGGGTTCTGAATGCGGGCAGATCATTTAATCACTCAAAATATGCCGTCAATAGACTTTCGACAAACTTTAAATGCATCATTGACCACATTGGTCACTCTCCAAGCATCCAGTATGCCCCCGGGGGAACCTGGAGCAGGGGACAATTGCATTTTTACACCAAAACATGCCGTGCGACAGCTCATTCTTCATGGTTTTTCAAGAATAGGCTTTCCATAAACTTCAAATGAATCATTGACCGCATTGGCCGCCCTTGGAATCACGGGATACCCCCGAGGGATCCTGTAGCAGGGGTAAATTGCGTTTTTACACCAATAGGGGTAAGAGGGACATAGTGAACAGGTGGGGCATAGTGAGCATCCCGTGCACCAGCTTGGACTTCCGGCCGTTCGGAACAATTTGGTTGGTGGTAGGATCGTAGGATCATTATCATAATGATATTGAACCTACTGCCAGTTGATTTGTTTCATGCAGCTAGAGATCCAGGGCCAAACTACGGGATGCTCACTATGCCCCACCTGTTCACTATGCCCATCCTCCCCCTACATGCCGTGTGACAGCTTTTTCTGCAAGCTTTTTCATTAATAGGCTTTTTATAGACTTTAAATGGATTAGTGACCACATTGGCCGCTTTAGGGACCTCCGGTATGCCCCCGGAGGAACCTGGGGCAGAGGACAATTGCATTTTTACACCAAAACATGCCGTGCGACAGCTCATTCTTCATGGTTTTTCATGAATAGGCATTCATTAAACTTCAAATGTATCAGTGACATGCCGTACGACAGCTCTTTCTTCATGGATTTTCATGAATATGCTTTCTATAGAATTGAAGTGGATCATTGACCACATTTTCCGGAGTCACTGGAATGCCCTGGGAGGAACCTGTAGTAGGATGCAATCACATTTTTACACAAAACAATGCCATTGGGGAGCTCATTCTGGAACCAGCAGATGCCCCAGGATAACTAAGAGGAAAATTGTATTTTCACTTCACAATGCCGTTCGACAGCTCGAACTATCTGAAGTCTACTAGCAGTGGATTAGGTCTTTAAACTCTGGTGGTAGACCATTAAAAGTCTCTTTCTTGTATTAATGTAAGATGTAGCAAGAGCACAACAACAACTCTTTAATGAACAAAATGATTGTCGACGTCAGCTCTGGAGATGTTCGCCAGCACTTTGTGCTCCCTAGTGACCATCAGTTAGTACCATTTCCTGTATTTCAAATAAACAATAGTGACAGCACACACAAACAGACATAACACTCGCAAGTTGTTCATCGAACAAGCATTTAACGGACAATTTAAAAGTATCGTTGTTGGTAGTACCGCCACTTGTGGCGCGCATACCCGCATAAACGCGAACCATCACATGACCTTACCGATAATGGTTATAAATTGTTTATAATCCCTGCTAAACTTCAACTGAAATGGTTATGGAACTTTACATGAACGTTTGTGTGATAAAGTTTTAACCTTATGTATTATGGTTTTTTGGAAGCGGACCTTACAAATAATGGGTTGTTAAGAACCATTACCATTCCAAATTCTTGTTTTCTCCATACACACTTAAACAGAGACCCTGAGTTCGGTAAAAAAAATTACCGTCTTAGATCGGTAATGCTAAAAATTACAGATGTTTCGGTATTTTCTCGCTTTATTGCTGAAAACTGTAAATGAAATGACCAAATTTCGGTAATTTTATTTTAATTTACCGAAAACGGTAAACATTTTTACCGGCAGGTCTGTGAATCAGCTTCATCACTGACTTCGGTGAAATATTTTACTGAAGTTTCGGTAAACAAAGCGTTTCGTTACTGAGTTCGGTAACGGTCTAGGTAAACGTCAAATCCACCATATTGTTATTTTCGATCGACATTAAAAGCGTTCGTGCTTGTGAAAAATAAAAAAGGTGAAATTATGCAACACCAAGATGAGCGAATCGTAGATATTTTCCGTAAATAGGGGAATTTACGTATTCTCGGCAACCTAAGCAGCGATCTTCTTTCTATAGCCTTTTTCTCTATGAAACGCACACATATGCAGTATTGGTTTGTTTACAATCTTTTGCTGCCAGCTGCTCTAACAATTTCAGTCGAAAGAATTGTCAAAAACTGTTTTGAAACGCTTTTACAAAGCTCCAATCTTCTCTAGTGAGAGCGAGTATTGTCGGCAACCGTTCCATTTGAACTGCATGTAAATCTGCTGTTCTATTATCGGCAACTCGAAATCAGCTACAATTTGTAGTGCGTGTGTTGCATTTCAAGAAAATCTTGCTAGATTGCTTTTTCTCAGTTGTAAAAATATAGTCAAATTGAAGCTGAAAGCATAAAGAATCGTTTGCATGCATTCAGCGAAGTGTTTTCGTAAGAAAATCCAGTGAAAATAGTGTTTCAATTTGTGTTGCCGAAAATAGTATGTCATGCCGAAGCCGTCATTTCCCCTAATTAATTTTTGTTATCTAAATAAATACCGATTACAGATGGCCAATGTTGTTGCTTGTTTTTTTTTTTTTTTCTGTCGTTCCAAGTTCCATTCCCGTTGGCGACGATCTTCCAATGCTTCCTTGTTTTCAGTGTAGCGCCGAATCTTTCAGACAAAAACTTAAGTTTTCAGATCTTTGCCAACTGTTTTGTTCATTGGTGGTGCAATTTGCAACACTAGCTTATTGATCACGACTGCAGCCAAATTTTTGCATGGGTTACAGTGACCGCCACATTGAAACAATATTAAAGCAAATTACAGTTGAGTCGGTGACCTTTTTAAAAAATTACAGTTCTCCGGTAAAGTCGACTACAAATCAAGCAATGCACATCGGTAAATGTTACCGATCGTTCGGTAAATTTGACAGCTAATTTTGCTGATCCAGTTTACAGATTTTTCGGTGATGTTCTCGATTACCGAAAACATTACCGACCGTTCAGCCAACAATCAATACGAAACTAACGATTTTAAATTGGCTCACCACTTTAGTAGCCTATTGGTCCCAAGCAAACGATTAACGTACCCTATTCTAGTTGAAATTCTATTACTACACTATGTTTGTTTTAATTCGCTATGAAAGTTTGACAGATAACATCAGGGGTGTGTGGAATCATGCAGAACATGCAGGGGTGAGTGAAATAGCTTGGGACTGCTTGGGACCGTTGTTCTGGTACTGAGTGAGCCAAAAATAATAATGATTTTCTTTGGGACCCAGTGGTCTTAGAGTTACCTCTATGATAATACTATTGTAGTGGTTATGGAATGATAGTCCCATAGAGGTAACTCTAAGACAAGTAGGTCCCGAAGAAACGTGCTCAACTTTTTGGCTCACCTCTGGTACTATCTTCGGTCCCAAGCTTGTCGAATCACCCCTCGAAACATAGGAAAAACCAATAACCCCTCATTTTATCTGTCAAACTTTCATAGCGAATCAAAACAAACATTGCGTAGTACTAGAATTTCGACTAGAATAGGGTACGTTAATCGTTTGCTTGGGACCAATAGGCTACTAAAGTGGTGAGCCAATTTAAAATCGTTAGTTTCGTATTGATTGTTGATAGTCCTGTGTCCAACAGAACTCCAAGATCCTTCACAACTGTCACACGCTGAACTTGCTGGCAGTTTATGGAATAAAGATATTCTATAGTGCTCTTCTTTCGGCTGAAACTGATTACAGAGCACTTCGGTACGCTGATATTGAGCAAGTTGCAAGCACACCATTCATAAAACGTCTCAATCAATTTCTGCATCTTAATGCAGTCATCAACTGTACGAACCTCAAGGTATATTTTAAGGTCATCAGCGTACACGATTTTGCATCCTGGAGGAAGTAATAAGCACACATCGTTGACATAAAGCGAAAAGAGTAACGGCCCGACGTTGCTGCCCTGAGGGACACCTGATGTACAGTGGAAGACTCGCGACTCAGCGTTTCCCAATTTCACAGAAAGTGAGCGATTTGCTAGGAACTATTCTAACCAGCACACAAAAGCATCGGAAGCACCTAAGTGCCTTAGTTTAGCCAACAATATAGCATGATCAACACGGTCAAATGCTGCTTTGATGTCCGTGTACACCGTATCGACTTGTGCTCCTTTCTCCATGTGTTACAGACAAAAGGAGCAGAACTCCACTAGATTTGTATTAATCGACCGTCCAGGGAAGAAGCCGTGCTGTTCAGTTGAGATATACTGCGCAACACTACGCTGCAATAAGCCTCCAATTAAAATCTCAAAGAGCTTTGAGCCAGCACAAAGCGAGGTGATGCCACGATAGTTCGTAACATCTTCTCTGTTTCCTTTTTTGAACAAATGAAAGATGAATGACTTCTTCCAGCATTCGGGAATAGTTTCCTGACGAAGCGACTGATTGATGATCATCTGTAACGGTTTTAATAGCGAAGTAGCACAATTCTTCAGAACAATCGAGGGTATTCCATCTGGACCAGGAGACACTGACGATTTCAACTGTTTCATAGCATCTTCAACTTCGTTTTGTGTGAAGCTAGTTATGGTTATATCACAAACGTTCTCAGGAACGAATTGCAAGGCTTTCTGGACCTCTTGAGCTGATGCCCTGCCAGAGGCGAAAACACCAGAGAACTGCTGAGCGAAGAGGTTACAAATATCTTCAGGTGTGCTGGCTGAATAGTCACCTAGAACCATTTGCGCTGGAAGACCACTTTCTTTACGTTTATAGTTGACGAAAGACCAGAAACGTTTTGGATTTTGTTTCACGCTCATTTTGCTTACGCAAAACATGTCGAATATAGATGACGGTTATAGTTTCTATACCGGTTGCTGGCTTTAGAAAAGTTGCGTTTGGTGATCACATCTCGCGCACGAGAGTATTTCTTCAAAGCAGCAGAACGCTTGCGTTTAAGCCGTTGAAGCCGTGCATTTGACCAAACTGGCCTAAGCTTTGGTCTGGGTCGAGGGACATAGGGTTAACTACCCCATTTTCGGCCTATTAAGCACAACCCGCACTTAGTCTTTCTTAATCTAGCGCAGTTTGGCACCACACGGAATGTTATTATTACTGATGGCTTCCAAGTTTATTTACCTTTCTGTACGTACCGTAAGATTTGATAAAGAGAAAACAATCGTTGAGATATTGTCAAAAGTCTAACACTGCTTCTTGACGCCAAACTCGGCCTACAGATTCTAAACTCGGCCTAACGCCTTGAAACGCCATTGAAAAGCAAATGAATTCACTTCGGCCTATCGGATGAAGATAAAAATTGACTCGGTCGGAGCGCTTCTTTTGTTTTTGTGAATTATGGGTGCAAACCTTCATATCACGGGTTCTCATTGACTTCGTTCGGTAGCTTATAAACTAAAGTATCGTACCAAACTCATAATTGACTTGTTAACTCAGAAATCATGGAATTATTTTGTGTTTTCTGCACGATAGGCCCAAAATGGGCGATTAGGCCGAAATAGTTCTCTACCCTATTCACGAAGAAATGATGTCAGTGTTTGGATGAAAAGTGAAACAGCCACATTCACGTCAGCAACATCCAGAAATGACAAATCTGTGGTCCGTAAAGCATCACTCAAGCCAGCATAATCAGCACGATAGAAGTCGAACTCCCTTTCCTCAGGTATGTCATTGTACCGAACCAGAGGCGGATAGCCAAGGTTGACAAAAACTGGAGGATGGAACGGGTCAGCATCAATAAGAGCTTCAGGTGTTTCAATTACATCACAGTGTTTAACTGCATCGGAATTAGCAAATATGTGGTAGTACATGAATTTCATGTCTACACATAAGAACTAGCGATAGTTGTGTAAAGAAGAATTGCATTATAACACACCTTCGACTGGAAATGCTTTCGGCAACGTGGGGCTTTAGGTAGTGATGAAAACGTCGCTAGAACTATTCCACAGCCGCAGTCAGTAATGAGCAAAAAGGAAAACATACTTCAAGTCTCCGCGTACATCGTACGGGTTAGGCAAAAGATGTGCGTTTGACTTTATACTGTCGCATTGATGGCCCTTTGCTCATTTTAAAATTCTATTCAATCTTCATACTGCCGTACTTTAACGGAACTATCCACCTACCCTCTTCTAAAGATCATTCTCTAGCTAATAAGTGCAACGGGAAGGACAGTAGGTGTATAAACTTAGGGGGTTAGACCCTAGATAAGCCAACTTAGCGGTTGGCATAGCCTATACACTGAACAATTACAATTACAAAATGTATACAGTACACAATGTGACGCTTAAAGAAACATAAATCACTGCAAAATCTATCTTTCGCTGACTGATTTAAACTCATGGAGTTCGGAAATGGTATAATAAAATCGATTCGACTAAAAAAAAGACTAACCTACAAAATGAAACACGTACCAAGTTTAATTTTTTCGCCTTTTATTTCATAGCATTTAAATATGCACAATGTTTGGAAAGATATAGGGCTAACGAGATAAAGTTTGTTTTCTGTGTCGCTGTTCGATAAATATCAACATGAAATATGGAAGAGATTAGGTTTCACACTTTTCTCAACAACGTTTCATCGTTACATCTGTTTTTTCCTCTTCTTGCATTTCGAAATGTGCTTTCAAATTTCAATTAGATTAACGTAACGCTCAAGTGAAGTTGATATTTTGTGTGAGTTTTTTTTTTGTTCAACGTTGATTACATTTTTGCGTTAGGTTTTTCGTTTAAGTATATATCATAGCTTAGTAGATAATAGTAATAAATAACATCTGTTCAATAGTTATTATCATCGACATTCTGAGAAGCAATATGTTTACGTTTCTGCAAGATTTTTCATCAGGTTCCATTACATGATGGAATATCATATGAGTAGAGAGAGATTAAACATGAATCGAGTATCTGTCTTTTATGCGCTTCGCTGTAGCATCAGTATTTTTGGGTGCATCCTTCAACAATATACGTACCAAATTTATTGTTTTATTTATTTAGATATTTGAGTCGTGCCGTGTACAAATTACACAGATAATGCACAATCGTAACAAGATTTACACTCGACTGAGGAATTTGGGCATTTGGGTAGGTTATTTTAATTTCACGAGGAGGAATGTGTTTTTTGTTTAATATTATTGTTCTCTCTTTGTTGTTCACTTTTCTCACATTTTCGTATTTCGTTTTGGTATGCTAAGATAATTGACAAAACTGTATCCACAACATAATAGACGCTGTTATCTGATGTTAGTGTTAAATTTTCTTGTCTCGCAAAATTCGTTGGTGCAACGATTAACTGGTAATGCGGTCTGTCTGTTCTATAACCTGGCCTAAAAGCACAATTTTGTATGTCATAGCGAGTGAAAATATGTTCGCCTTGTAAAAGTTTGATATTCCTTTTGTTTTAGCTTTTCTGCATTATTTATTATCGACGTAACACGCAACCAGGCGTAACAATTCGTATTAATATGTGGGGTTAAGCTTAAACGTAACATATAGATTGCATTTATCATTAAAAATAACAAACTCCAAACTAAATATAGTGAAGCGGAATTTAATAAGATTTTTCTCTCACATTTGCACTAACCAAGTGAGATGATTCTGAAAAAAAAAATGCTTGCCTAAAACACTAAAATTAATCGTAGGAATATCGTGTTTAATCATCCAGCAACTCTAAGAACGCCTTTGGTACCAAACCTTTAAGCAGACCCTGTTTACCGTTCATGTAGTCGCTGTTCGTTGGATTGCACTCGCAGACAAAGATGACCTTGATGTAAAACAAAAAAATAGTTATCTATTGGAATTCACAAAAAAAAATGGTGCAAAATTTACCTCATTAGCCGTAAGATTTAGCTCGGTGCCATCTTTGGCATCGTACGAGCAGAGTACGCGAGCTCGCTTGTAGCCGAGGTTGACACCCAGTTCGATGTTGTTGACCCGGCCGGACAGGCCGTTGGCTTCTTCGTCATTGTAGCCTGTCACCGGAACGTACGGCTGTGGACCTCCCAAACTGTAAATGGGCGCATGTTCAGTAGACTTATCTTATACACGGTAGGCCAATCTTGTAGGCAGAAGTGATGCAAGCAACTAACAAAGACAGCAACGCACTATTTGCAGGATGTGTGGGTTCTCGGAAGGATGTGTACTTTATCGTGGTTCCTTCCAATAATTTTCAATATATTACCTACTATGAAATTACGTTTGACACCGCTCCCAAGAGGGTGCTGTCAGATCTGCTATTCAGAACTGGTATTAAAATATGACTAGAAGTATGGCAAGTGTAACTATGTATATCTGAACATGTCCTAAATCTACTTATTATTTGAACGCAAATTACCCTTGCTGTCTTAGTGGACACTATACTTCAATTCGATTCAATTCATTTTCTAATTTCCTTTAGCGAAATTGTTTCAATAATGACCTTTCCCTAACTAGCTTTTATCAAATCCTATCCATGGGGTGATATTGAAGGCAATTTGGTGATGGGTAATGAGGGTGGGTAAATAGGGTGCTTCATTAAAAAAAGTGTTATTTCTTATAGGCCATCCTCCAGTTTGTTTAATAAACCCAACGTATGGTAAAGATTGATGAAGGTTTAGTATTTTTTTCTTGATTTGTTTTCCGTGCTGAGCACCAATGCTACCGACGCCAGGGAGGCAGCTCTCACACCTAGACCCTACCACCTATCGACCCATCAACTCATGAACCGGGGCCCAAGAGGGGACAGAGCCTCAGAAAATCCCGGCGGCGCCGACTGGGATTGAACCCAGGCCTGCTGCGGTGAGAGGTAATCACGCTTACCACTACCCCACCGGCGCCGCTATGAAGGTTTAATAGAGATCACGCAAATGGGGTTAGCATTTGTATGGGAATTACTATGGAAGCATTTAAAATTTCACTTAAAGACTGGAACGCGCAAAAATTGGTCGACAAAAAATCGTTTCTTTCAGTCAAAATTCATATCACAAAAATCGTCTTATTTTTCTTTTGGTAGTTCAATTCACATATTTAAAGGAAAACATGGTCGTTTATTCTTTTGGTTTGCCAAATCCGAACTGCCGTGCCTTCCGCTTAACCCCTTCCATTACATTTTGTACAGTGGTCTCATCGACCTTATTCGCCGAAAAACGCCAGTTAGATTTAAACTGCTATTCGTTTTCCATGGATTTATTAGTTTTTTTTGTTTGCGATTCCGTTTGACCAAGGCCCAATACCGTTCGATAGGGCGGAGGGTTGTGGTCTTTGGGTACCACAACCACGTTGTTCGCATCGTACCACTCGATTGCCTTTTTTCCCATAGTGGCAGCTCGCCAAGTCCGGCCAGAACAGCACAGGTCTATTATGCTGCTTTAGGAATGGTAGCAGCCGCTTTTCCAGGCACTCCTGGACGTAAATCTCTTGATTGATGGTTCTCGTAGTTATAACTGATGTAAGAACTCAGCACTCACCAACTACCTAAAGGGCGAACACGAAATTATTGCGACACATTCAACAGGGCATAACTTTTTTACCATTGGGTAAAAATCAACCAAATTTTGCACACTTTCTCATTGATGTGTATTGTGTACATGCTGTCAAACTCGAAGTCGTGTTTTTCGATTCAACGAAAATGGAGGTGAACCAACGTGAGTTGAGAGAACAAATTCTTTCCAAACACCTGGAATTTCCTGACCTGTCGCACCGGCAGTTGGGAAAAATGTTGAACATTCACCATTCAACCGTCTCCAGAGTGTTGAAGCGGTTCTAGGAGCGGTTGACGTTGGACCACGGCAAAGGAGCTGGAAGAAAACCGGGACCGGCGAACAAAAAGACGGAGGGAAAGGTGAAGCGGATGATTAAAGCAAATCCCAACGTCTCAAGCCGTGATTTGGCTAAAAAGATCGGCATGTCGCAGAGCTACGTCCAGAATGCAAAGAAGAGAGCTGGACTACATACATAAAAGGTACAGAACTTCCCAAACCGCGATGAGCGGCAACAATCGACGGCTAAAACTCGGACACGGAAGCTCTACGAGAAGATGCTGGCAAAATATGGCTGCTGTGTGATGGACGACGAAACGTATATAAAAGCCGATTTTAAGCAAATTCCGGGGTTGGAGTTTTTCACCGGCAAGAGCAAGTTCGATGTGGACGACAAATTTAAGAAGAAGAAAATATCTCATTTGGCAGGCCATCTGCTCTTGCGGACTGAGGAGTGAGCCTTTCGTGACAAAGGGCACAGTAAATGGCGAGATCTACAAATCTGAGTGCCTCGAGAAGCGCCTTTTGCCGTTCTTGCAGCAGCACGACGAAGCTCCGCTATTTTGGCCAGATTTGACATCATCCCAACAAACAATTTTAGCTGCAGAATAGCTTATACAGGCAAAAATTAGCTGTATAAGCCAATTTTTGGCTGTAAAAGCTAATCTGCAGCTAAAATTGTTAGTTGGGATGCCACTATTCTAAAAGTGTCCTGGAGTGGTATGAGGCCAATTCTGTCCATTTTGTTCCAAAGGACATGAATCCGCCAAACTGTCCAGAGCTGCGCCCGGTGGAGCAGTACTTGGCAATAATGAAGCGGGATCTTCGGAAGAGCAAGAAGACAGTCAAAGACGAGAAAGACATGTTAAGAAAATGGAAAAAAAAACTGAGAAACTGGTACCGGATGACACTGTAAAGGCTTTGATGGAGGGCATCAAGCGAAAATGCGTTCAATTTTACACTCAAGGCTCCATCGATTAACTTTTCTTTTGATTTTTGAAGTAAATATATGTATAAAACTACCCTAAAATTTTGGTTTGATTCTAAACATTATAAGAAAATTGGCATGACATTTTCGGTGTCGCAATAATTTCGTGTTCGCCCTTTAATCGGTAAAAAATTGATAAAACTAGATACAACTTAACTACAACATTTAGTAAAGCAAAATACGTCAGAGACGCAAATGTTAATTTTCAAGAAAATTTGCATTTCAAATTAAAATGCATTATTATTTTTAATTAATGTTTCATTAAATCTAGGCCGGTATTATTCAATAGAATCTCATAATGTAAGGGTGCTTTATTACGTTCACTAATTACTCAGAATTTATACTATACATAAATAACTGTAGATGATACAATGTTATTTAAAAAAAAAATCAAAGGTTACAATCAATACTCCTTTAGCTCAGTCGGTAAAGGCGCAGCTACAAAGCAAGTCCATGCTGGAGGAGACTGAGTTCGATTCCCGTCCGGTCTATTAATTTTTCGGGTTGGAAAATTTCTTCACTTCCTTGGGCATAGGATGGTACAGGCATAGAAAGCTCTCAATTAAAATGTGAATACTTCAAAGAACACTAAGTTGAGAACAGGCAAAAATCTAATATGCTACTATATAAGCAATAAGCTTGAAATGCCATGTAGTAGTAAACAAATGCTATTTTTAGGCAATGAAAACAGTTTGTTTTGTCGCGAATTAGTATTTGAAGTCGCGGATTTCTTTTGAGAAATCGCTGATTTCGCGTATCAAACTTAGAAAATCTTGTAACAGCCCTGTAAATGAAATAGATGAAGAAAAAAAATTACGTCTGTTTGTTTGTTATTTAATTATTCAAATACCAATAAAACATTACACAGATTATGGGCAAGTAATCAAATGTGGTGCAATCTTTGAAAAAGATTAAAATTTGCTCCCTTTCCCTCCAAGCAAAAATGAACTTCTAGAATACTAAATTCAGCATGCTCTTAAGTTATTTAGTTTCCTCTGCATTTTCATAAAAAAAAAACACTTAATGGTTGAATTACAGACAAACAGCCATACTACATTGAATATTTTGAAATAGAAAACATCGTCGCTAAAACACTACCGCCATCTGTTGGGTATACTGTGATGGGCAATACGCTAAACACATGGCGGTAATGTGTAGACGTCAAACGCAAAGGAATTTACTTTGCACACCACAGGTGGCAGTACTACCATAGAGGTAACTCTAAGACCAGAAGGTCCCGAAGATACGTGCTCAACTTTTTGGCTCAGCTCTGGTACTATCTTTGGTCCCAAGCTAATCGATGCACCCCTCGAAACATAAGAAAATCCATGAACCCCTAATTTTATCTGTCAAACTTTCATAGCAAATCAAAACTAACATAGTGTAGTACTAGAATTTTGACTAGAATGGGGTACGTTAATCGTTTGCTTGGGACCAATAGGCTAGTCAAGTAGTGAGCCAATTTTAAATCGCTAGTTTCGTATTGATTGTTGGTACTACCAACTAAAAACATTTAAATTGGGTTTTTTAATTTAGAAAAATATATCGGTTTTTATATACCATCTAAAAGAGCTTCGTTTTCTGAGCACAGCGATATTTTTTTCGAACCTACACTCTTTCATCTCGATTTTTAAATCAAGATTTTAAGCAAAATAATAACTTCACTGTTTGACACTAAACCCTGCACTAAACTAACAAACTGACAGCTCGCTCCCATACAAAGTGATTTGTAGGATGATTTTTGCAAATGTAATCGTACTTATTTAAAATAGTTCCAGTGAACAAAAATTGATGAAATTTTGGGTTTGGGTTCCATATTTAATGCAGATTACGAATATGCATTTACCTCAATACCCTTAAAGAACCCAATTTACCGTTGAATGCGGGTTCGATGGACAACTTGCAAGCATTATGTCCATTTGTCTGTGGTTGAATTAAAAGCACAGACAAACAGACATAGCTCATTGAATGTTTCTCACTGTAAAACATCGTCGCTAAAACATTACCGCCATCTGTTGAGTACACTGTGGTGGGTAGTACGCTGAACAGATGGCGATAGTGTGTAAACGTCAAACGCAAGGGAATTGACTATGCGCGCCACAGGTGGCGGTACTACCAACTACGATACTTTTAAATTGACCGTTAAATGCTTGTTCGATGAACAACTTGTGAGTGTTATGTCTGTTTGTCTGTGTTAAAAGGTTCTATAACATTCCCCAGAAAACCATTCCTCAGAATCTCATTCCCCAGAATGTGGGGGCGACCCCGGTGTAGTGGTTAACATCCTTACCTCTCACGCCAAAGTCACGAGTTCAAATCTCACCCCCGGATAAGTCACGAATGACCCAAGAGTGTTAAAGAGACTATAAAAAAAAAATCCTCAGAATGCACCATTCCCCAGAAAAGTATGGCATGTATTAGATTGACTATTTTTGTTTATCATAGTCACTCCTGGAATCTTCTTTCGCGTATATAAAAAGAATAGAAAAACTTCTTAATGGATCAAGGCGTTTTCCTTTCTTTGAAAAAAGGAAATAATTAATTCTTTGGATATACGATAAAGAAGGGAATATTCCCTTCTTTTAATATATAAGGAAAATATATAATCAATAGCTTTTCGCAAGGGATTCGGGGTAATGACCATTTGGGATAATAACGAGTGGAATAATGTTATAAATTTGAAATCGGTAGTTCAACGTTCCATGCACCGATTTTTTAATCCATCACGAGAAATTCTTCAACTCAGATCGAACAATTCTTCGATAAGGTTTAACAGTTTCCGACTCGTTGAATTGGATTGCATAATAGACCCTTTGACTTATTAAATGATGAACGAAGTGCTCGAAAACTTGAAGGTTGTCATTTTATAAAGAGCTAAAAAATGGAATTGATAAATACATAATTCCATAAAAGTAAACATAGTGTATTATCAATAGTAAAAAAAGAAAAGTGAAAATTACTAATTTCATCAACTTTTCTGGGGAATGGTATTTTCTGGGGGGAATTCTGGGGAATGGTTTTCTGGGGAATGTTATAGAACCAATTAAAAATGTGTATTTTTTATTCCACATAATCATGTTTTATCATATATTTTTTTCATCACACCCCTTTCCTGCCAACCCCCAATTAGTATAGTTTGTGGTTAACGGTCAAAGTTGTTGTTTAACTATTGACCGATTAAAAACCTCCGGAAAATTCCGTTAAAAAAAAATCTGGGTGGTGCAGCAGAACCATGTAGCATGGTTAACTGGACGGCTACATTTTTGAGGAAGTTACATTTCTAACGGTATGAAAACGGATCCATGGAATCCAAGATACCTACATTTTTTGAAAACCTAAAAAATTAAAGAAAAATTCGTTTTCAATGTGGGTCCCACAGTGTTAATATGATGTTTGTTTGAGAATTAGCCTCTGATAGCTTGCAATTTGTTACCTATTTGTTCAATTTAACTACCAAGAATCAGCATTTGATCTTAATACCTAGCTGCCTAAAATTGATTATTGGTTCTATTTTAAAATTAACACTATTTGACATTCAAATATCACACATCCGATTCATTAACTAGTATGATTACCTATCTAAAATGCTATCTAATTGAAATACAGAAAAGTTTGTACAAATTGAAGTATACAATAGCTATAAGCACAGAAGTAGCTAGGACACGTAAATCTATTAGATGGCAATAGCTGCCTAGTTTTAAAAAGACTGTTCACAATAAGACAAGAGAGAGAGAGCAGGACTTCACAATCGTTAGTTTCAGTTTTTGCCTTATCTCAGAGATAAGTAAAGGACAGATTTCGAAAGCTCATGTGTTTGTATGTTTGATGATAAATATTGATGTCGGCATATCAGGAAGAGAGATCTGGAAGAAGATCGACGGAAGCACAGTTCCATGGTACGGGTTTAGAGGACAGAGATATCGTTGGGATCACTATTGGCCACCAGCTCGGCGATCACACTGTCATCCGCGATCGGGAACGAAGCCGGCACGGGTCTCGGCCTGCGGGCTGCCACCTCCGCCGGATGTAGTGTGATCGTCTGCTGCTGCCAGTGCTGATTGCTGCCTTGTGTCAGTGATAGCTGTTGTTGTGATGGGCTAAGATAGGGAGGTCCACTAGCGAGGTCTACGTCCTCGCTGTTAACGCGCAAGCGGGGCGTTGATGGACGCATGCTGTCGTGTTAGTTTTTTGTTTGTTTTGTCGGTTGGTAGAATTTTGTCCGATGGAGAAGAAGCGAGAGAGAGCGAATTGTAGAGAGAAATAGAGTGATAAGTTGTTGTTTTTTTTTGGGAATTGAATTTGAAATGTTCGGTGAAATTGCGAGAGATTGTGTGTTTGGGTAGGATAAGGCATCAAAGCTAACAACTAGTTGGTCTAAACATCGATGTTAGTTGTTAAAATAGACGTACCTGGCCAATTCTCGCTGTAGGTCGTTCATGATCTTATTGCACTGGCCGTAGTAGCGGACTTGAGATTCGACGAAGGCATGCAAATGTCGTAGATGTGTGGCTTGGGTTGTATTGATTCCCTCCAGCAGAAGCTTCGTAATTTCGGCTTGTCGGTCAAATTCCGACTGTGCTACCCGCAGCTCGCGTTCAGCCTGAAATTTAGCAATGGGATTAATCTTCCATCTGGTTTGCCGAAAAAATAGGGAACTAGATAAATTAAGCTGATATATCTAATGTTGACGTCAATGGATAAACAGAATACCGTTTGATGGGAATCTACTAGAGCTACTAAGCATCCTAAATATATATGACACTACAACTGAAACGTCGATCGGGTTATAACGTTAGAACTACAAACACTGTACCTGGTCCAGAACAGCCTCAGGAGAAAGTCCATCCTTCTGTGTCAGTTTTACATTATGGATAATAGAGGGGATAATGGTAAAAGATTAGGTGCAATAGGTCAGTGGTTAGTTTCTGATAGACTGTTATAGGACAATCATGCACGGCACGTTACACCTAGGGAAGCCTGACATTGTCCATTTTCAAACGCCGAAGCGCGATCACTAGCTCCATCCGGAAAAACGGGAGAGAACCCCGTGGTCAGATCTGCTACCCCATTTAGTGTTGATAAAAATATCAACGGAATCACGGTTCTATCTGGCCAAGCTATCAAGAAGTATTGACGCAAGGAATTGTTTGACTGTTTGAATAGATTTGTTCACATCATTACAATCACTTGCTTCTCACAAATTACACACGATGTTTTTTTATTTTAAATTGGGGAAATTTTCAAAATTCTATGACACGAAAAGTTTTGTATGATTGCCAAAGATCTACATGGCCAATAAGATTGATCCAAATTTAAGTTCAGTTTACTCATAAATCGCAAAAAGTACAGGAACTCAGCGCAGAGTAAGTTTTATTCTGGATTTTTTTTCCTGGAAAACTCTGGGAAATTTACTCAACGTAGAGAAAATTCAAGATTGGATTCACTCAGTCTATTGGTACTACTTCTAGACTGAGTAAAATTTTCATCAATTTTCCCCACTTTTTGACAGATTTTTGAGGTTTTCCACAGGAAAACATGAAGCACATTTACGCATCGCTGATTTCCTGTACTTCTTGCGATTCATGAGCAAACTGAACTCAAATTGGGGTGGATCTCGTTGGCCGAGTATGCTCCGATTGTTTTTTTTTTCTGAAAAATTATCCCTCTAAACTAAAAGGGGTGCAACTAACGATAAGACTCCTTTCCCTTGCAAGCCCCACGCTAGAGAAAGAGCATGTTTCGCTCGCAAATTTACAGCTTAATAACCATTGTCCGGAAATCTGCACGTTTGACCAGCGCTTCGACCATTCTCCTCCCTTCTGTAAACTCAAAATCCTAGCAAACCACCTCACATCGATTCCATGATTAACTCAGTTAGCGACCAATAACAACTCTCACCGTTTGCTGTCCCAGCATGCTTCTTGCCTTCCGTACCCGGTTCTTGCATGCATCTAGATCCAACCTAAAATTATAATCCACATTATTTTCGAATCCAACGGATTCCCCCTCGGGCGGCCCATCGAAGCCTACCTCTTACTCTCCAGGATGCCCTTCTCCTTGGTGATCGTCTTCATCTCACCTTCCAGGAACTTTTTCAACGGCTGAACAAAGCACATCCCGGCCGATCCGATGAAATCCCGCTCACACGCGCCCAGCTTCTGCTCGGCCTGACCGACCTTAATCAGTGCGCTCCCATAGGCTCCGTCCTGGCCGAATTCTCCCCCTCCTTCGATCATATCCAGGCCCAGATATTCCAGATTGCTCAGCCTCTTGTGTTTCTGTTTTTCTATCTTCTCGAATATGAAATCTTCCATCCGGTTCGCCGGATTCGGTATCAGTGCCGCTTCTGTGTCGCGAACGATTTTCTCCGTCCACGTTCTGGTGCAATCGGACCGATCGTTGAGATGCTCAAAGTGGGAATCCATTTCGGTTTTCTCCGAGGTGCCCAGCTTTTCCTCTGTCAACTGCAAGCAACGGTAATGTTATAGAATAATTTTAAAAGCACCATCAGCACCCAAACAAATCGATAAATCGAACTCGGTGGTGGTGCAATCCGATTTTTTCACCTTCGATTTCGTAACGAGTGTAATTAGCTCCGTATCGAGTCGCAAACGGAACATCATTTTAATACCCTTCTCCCTTACCTGAACCACTCGGGAAAGTGTGGAACCCGCATCCTTGACGAACTTTTTCACGTCGAAATCTGGCATTTTGATGTTCATCGTGGATTTTGTGTTGTATGACTAGATGAAATCCTCGTTTTTTCCAAGCACTGATGGCTGATAGTTTTATGCAACTGAAATGTGATACACCACTAGGAGGACAGCTTGGACACACGAAGACGGAAGTTGGAAAAGCTGCAACGCAGAAATTAGGCTAAAATTTTCGGAAAGTTTCACGCGAATCGATTGTGAATGCCAAAAATTTTCTCTCCTTTGTGTGTTGTGAAAAAAGTTTGACAGCAAACTGTTATTGATTTTATTTTATTTTTCTTTCTTGTTCGCGGTGTTTTGCGTGTTTTTGCGGCTGCTGGTGGGTGGTGCTGAATGCGAGAAAGGGTTCGGCAGTTGAGTTACACCGTTACTCCGCATTAAATGATTTTTTTTTTCTTTTAACTATGTAGATATATTTTTCTTTAATATAAATTAGTTAAATAATTAATTTCAAGAAGAATTCATTCCAAATTGTTTTAAAATATGTTACCAAGTAATATATTTGACGGCAAAATGTTTATGCATTTCTCGAATTAGAGAGACTGCACTGTAAAAGCTCGTATAACTGAAAACGCATGCATTGACGAGTGCACGGATGGATTTGAGTTCACTCACTCGACAAAAAGTGACACAACAGCGGGGCCCTGTTTACTAAAAATGAACACATGAATAATGCTCGCGTAACATTTGTAAAGGGCCTATCAACTTTTGTAAATAATTTGCTAGGTCCTTTTCACGAGAACCGAAGTACGCCCACACAAACCAAGAGCACTATGGGGAAGGGGAGAATTTCCTTTGCCCGATGGTGTTGGTAGTTTACGTGAGCGTATTCGGTTCGCGCGAAAAAGGCTTAACAAGTTTTGTGTACATAATTTGATAGACCCGTTTCAAATGTTACGTGAGTATTATTCATTGTGTTCATTTTTAGTAAACAGGGCCCCGCTGTTGTGTCACTTTTTGTCGAGTGAGTGAACTCAAATCCATCCGTGCACTCGTCAATTTGTAGTGTTTTTAAATTTATCATTTTTGCATGTGTGTACTCAGTCTAGCTAAAGGCGCATTGAATGCGCGCACCATAAAATTTCCTTTATCTTCACGCTATTTCAAAACTCCCCAAATTTGGGTCAAGTCCACCCAGATCGATCAAAACTGAACCTACCCAAAAATGGGTAAACTATGTTGGGAGTGACAAGCTGACAAATGAACTAAGTCGATCGGATTCATGTCGATGTTGTCCATTTGTCAACTTGTCACTTCCAACATAGTTTACCCATTTTTTGGTATACACTTAATCTAGCTCTATAAACTCTCCGGTTGTTGTTGTTGTTGTTGTTGTTGTTGTTGTTGTTGTTGTTGTTGTTGTTGTTGTTGTTGTTGTTGTTGTTGTTGTTGTTGTTGTTGTTGTTGTTGTTGTTGTTGTTGTTGTTGTTGTTGTTGTTGTTGTTGTTGTTGTTGTTGTTGTTGTTGTTGTTGTTGTTGTTGTTGTTGTTGTTGTTGTTGTTGTTGTTGTTGTTGTTGTTGTTGTTGTTGTTGTTGTTGTTGTTGTTGTTGTTGTTGTTGTTGTTGTTGTTGTTGTTGTTGTTGTTGTTGTTGTTGTTGTTGTTGTTGTTGTTGTTGTTGTTGTTGTTGTTGTTGTTGTTGTTGTTGTTGTTGTTGTTGTTGTTGTTGTTGTTGTTGTTGTTGTTGTTGTTGTTGTTGTTGTTGTTGTTGTTGTTGTTGTTGTTGTTGTTGTTGTTGTTGTTGTTGTTGTTGTTGTTGTTGTTGTTGTTGTTGTTGTTGTTGTTGTTGTTGTTGTTGTTGTTGTTGTTGTTGTTGTTGTTGTTGTTGTTGTTGTTGTTGTTGTTGTTGTTGTTGTTGTTGTTGTTGTTGTTGTTGTTGTTGTTGTTGTTGTTGTTGTTGTTGTTGTTGTTGTTGTTGTTGTTGTTGTTGTTGTTGTTGTTGTTGTTGTTGTTGTTGTTGTTGTTGTTGTTGTTGTTGTTGTTGTTGTTGTTGTTGTTGTTGTTGTTGTTGTTGTTGTTGTTGTTGTTGTTGTTGTTGTTGTTGTTGTTGTTGTTGTTGTTGTTGTTGTTGTTGTTGTTGTTGTTGTTGTTGTTGTTGTTGTTGTTGTTGTTGTTGTTGTTGTTGTTGTTGTTGTTGTTGTTGTTGTTGTTGTTGTTGTTGTTGTTGTTGTTGTTGTTGTTGTTGTTGTTGTTGTTGTTGTTGTTGTTGTTGTTGTTGTTGTTGTTGTTGTTGTTGTTGTTGTTGTTGTTGTTGTTGTTGTTGTTGTTGTTGTTGTTGTTGTTGTTGTTGTTGTTGTTGTTGTTGTTGTTGTTGTTGTTGTTGTTGTTGTTGTTGTTGTTGTTGTTGTTGTTGTTGTTGTTGTTGTTGTTGTTGTTGTTGTTGTTGTTGTTGTTGTTGTTGTTGTTGTTGTTGTTGTTGTTGTTGTTGTTGTTGTTGTTGTTGTTGTTGTTGTTGTTGTTGTTGTTGTTGTTGTTGTTGTTGTTGTTGTTGTTGTTGTTGTTGTTGTTGTTGTTGTTGTTGTTGTTGTTGTTGTTGTTGTTGTTGTTGTTGTTGTTGTTGTTGTTGTTGTTGTTGTTGTTGTTGTTGTTGTTGTTGTTGTTGTTGTTGTTGCTGTTGTTGTTGTTGTTGTTGTTGTTGTTGTTGTTGTTGTTGTTGTTGTTGTTGTTGTTGTTGTTGTTGTTGTTGTTGTTGTTGTTGTTGTTGTTGTTGTTGTTGTTGTTGTTGTTGTTGTTGTTGTTGTTGTTGTTGTTGTTGTTGTTGTTGTTGTTGTTGTTGTTGTTGTTGTTGTTGTTGTTGTTGTTGTTGTTGTTGTTGTTGTTGTTGTTGTTGTTGTTGTTGTTGTTGTTGTTGTTGTTGTTGTTGTTGTTGTTGTTGTTGTTGTTGTTGTTGTTGTTGTTGTTGTTGTTGTTGTTGTTGTTGTTGTTGTTGTTGTTGTTGTTGTTGTTGTTGTTGTTGTTGTTGTTGTTGTTGTTGTTGTTGTTGTTGTTGTTGTTGTTGTTGTTGTTGTTGTTGTTGTTGTTGTTGTTGTTGTTGTTGTTGTTGTTGTTGTTGTTGTTGTTGTTGTTGTTGTTGTTGTTGTTGTTGTTGTTGTTGTTGTTGTTGTTGTTGTTGTTGTTGTTGTTGTTGTTGTTGTTGTTGTTGTTGTTGTTGTTGTTGTTGTTGTTGTTGTTGTTGTTGTTGTTGTTGTTGTTGTTGTTGTTGTTGTTGTTGTTGTTGTTGTTGTTGTTGTTGTTGTTGTTGTTGTTGTTGTTGTTGTTGTTGTTGTTGTTGTTGTTGTTGTTGTTGTTGTTGTTGTTGTTGTTGTTGTTGTTGTTGTTGTTGTTGTTGTTGTCGAGATTCATCTCCACCGTCAGCATTACTGCAACAGACAGTATTCCGAAATCGGTGTGGGGAGGGAGAGCGTGAAGTAACCTCCCCCCTTCCCAGGAGGGAAGTGGATGTTCAGGGGGACGAGAGTGGGACCAGTCACGAGTGTCTTGCACCCTCTGTTTCCTCCTGGAATCCGGCCGATATGTCAAGTCCAACGCGTAGACCGTCAGCATCATCTTCGTCATCAGCAGCAGTCAGCAGTAGTCATCCCACGAAATGTATTGCCCTCCAGTGGAACATACGTGGTCTACGTGCCAACATCAGCGAGCTCAAATTGCTCATCAGCCAGCATGAACACAGCAAAAAAAAAATGTAATATCGATCAACGTAATTCAAGCTGATGTATGAAATAATGATGTAATAGCAAAAAGCAGATACAATATTACATCAATGGATGTAATTTTGTTCGCAAAATCGATGTACATCGTACAATGTGATATTACACAACCGATGGATTGACCTGGTTGCAGCAGTTTCGATGTAATATTCAACAACTTTTTTTGCTGTGAACCGTCCGTTATAGCGCTGCAAGAGACGAAAGTGGATAATCGTGTGGTCGCGCCAGACTTTGCCGGCAAGAACTACACCCTGGTTCTTCAAACCGGTAGTCGTCGATACTGGCAGCAAGGAGTGGGCCTTGCCATCCGTGAAGGGGTTCCATTCGAGCGCATCGATATCAATTGTGATATTCAAGCCATTGCAGTTCGCATCCATCTTCCGACTCCAATGACGGTAGTGTCGATCTACATATCTCCGAACTCCCAGCAACAGTGCCAAACAGAACTAAATGATTTCTTTGAGCGTCTGCCCCCGCCAATTTTGGTACTTGGCGACTTCAATGCGCACCATCCCGTCTGGGGTTCTACGGCATCGAATGCGCTTGGCCGCTACATCGCTGAAAAGACACTGACGGAGCATCTGATAATCCTGAATGACGGATCACACACGCGGGTGGATCCAGCAAACGGTTCGTTTTCTGCCATAGATCTTTCGATCTGTTCAGAGGTGCTAAATCCTAGATTTATCTGGCGAACACTTCCGGATACCCACAGCAGCGACCACTTTCCTATCACCGTCTCTTCACCTGAATTCTCACAGATCGCCACGAAGCGAAGAAGATGGCTCTACGACCAAGCAGATTGGACATTGTTCTTCGTAGATCGGATATTATCAGCAGCAACCGCTAGCATTCCTCGAACATCAGGACGAGTTGGTTCCAAATCGGTACCATGGTGGTGCCCGGAAGTGAAAACGACAATTAAGCAGCGTCGAAAACTTCTGAGAGCACTGAAGCGCAGCAGAATAGCAGGATCAGACACAGCGGATGTTTTGAAGCATTTCCAGCAAGCGAAGGCAGCGGCTAAGAAGGCAGTGAAGGAAGCTAAGGAACATTCGTGGGAGGACTTTGTCGGAAAAATATCACCTAGCAGCACAACGGCAGAAATGTGGCGGACGATGAACACCCTGAGAGGCAAACGACAATACAGCAAGGCGGTTCTCAAGCGACCCGATGGCTACACGGAGAAAGTGGAAGAAATAGCAGAAGAACTGGCCGAGCACTACTGTGAGAGATCAGCGACCTCAAGCTATCCCCAACTGTTTCAAACAGCGAAGGAAAGAGCGGAACGGGATCGCGTGGATTTTCTTCCGGACAACGACGAGCTATATAACGCGGACTTCACCCTGGATGAGCTTCTGTGGGCACTCGACAAAGGACGTAGTGTCTCTACAGGTCCTGACTCGGTAGGGTATCCGATGATCCGACGTCTGCCTGTATCCGTCAAAATCGCGCTGTTGCAGCTTCTAAACAGAATCTGGCGTAGTGTCGTTTACCCTATCAGCTGGCGAACCGGAATAATAGTGCC